AGACATAGGATTAGAGGCGCCTTTACCTACTCTTCCTCCAATGTGATACAGATAGTCCTTATTTATGATTTGCAAATTGTGGTGGTAGTTAAGGAAGGTGTCCACACGATCATTTCATTTAACAATCACAATCCTCACTCCATTGTGGTCATGAAGTGACTGTGTAGATTGTTAAGCGGAACATGGATAGCCTCAGAGGGGGAAGGCCTGAGAGTACTATTGAAGTCCTAGGCCTGCACTCCAGCACCTCCCCAATTCACTCACACTTACCCCAGAGATCATTTCCAAAGATTGTGTTTAGGAAGGAGATTTGGTGCTCTACCCCTCAGCCTTCCTGTAGAATATGGAGGTGGAACTCATAAATCCCTTTGTTTAGCGGTCATAATTTTGAACAATTGTAAATTGAGAACTATCTACATGCAATCATGTGCCAGCGATGCCCCTCTGTATTCTATCCAGAACAAATAGAAAACTTTGCATAAAAGAATTAATATACACAAGTTTAAAACGAGGAGTCAAAATAGGAACAAAATGATATCAAAGTATTTCAATATGCTAGAACACCATTTTGCAATTCTCAGAGTTACCATTTGGGCGCGGGGGAGCAGTCTTTAACAGCAAGATATTTCTGAACTCATAAACACCAAAAGATTTCAAAATGTTTCAAAAGATTTCAGCAAACGTAATTAACACATCATAAAAGTTAATTGATAAAATATGTAATGTTTCAACTATAGCATTGCTAATCTGTCTCTTGCTCCATTACCTTCCTACTGTTCATTTTAGTTTAAATCCTATCTCAATTTAGACACTGATGAACTGGCATGCAGCTCAGTCTATGCATCTGTTGAAGTGAGTTGCATTTCATAAAACCTTATGCCTTTCAATGAAATATATTAGTCAGAAAAGGTGCTACCACACTTCTCCTGATTTTTGGTATCACAATACAGCTAATTAATATTGGGCACCTCATGCAGGCCTGTTTTGAAATTGCTATTATGATGTCATGCTAAGTAAGACTTGTTCATTCAAGCTTTAAAAGCCCATACAATTGACCGATGCCACCACTATTTGATAGCTTGTTCTTGAGTCTTTTTGCCAGTTGGAGCAGCTAAATAAACATGAAAACTACTCCTGTTTTGGTGTGATAGCTTAGCTTTGGTGTATTCAGTAGATTCAGAGCTGCTGCAGCTTTCCAAGGCAGAATTTCTATCAACCAGTTATGAAGGTGAGTTATGGGACATTGCTGGGGAAAACCCAAGGCCTATGTTTATTGGTTTCTCTTTTCTCTTCTAGGAGCATCAGAGAGAAGAGATTCCATCTTCGGAATTCAGGCTTCTCTGCTTCCCCCATGCCCCTTAAACTCATTTACTTTATGAATCAAAGGGATGCTGTTAAGTAATAAATTTAGATAATAAAAGGTATTTTTCCATAGATATTTTACTCATAAATTTTTAGTTTCAATAAACATACCACAGCTTCTTAAGTATTTTAATTTGTTTAGACAAAAATCTCTCCCTTGAAATAATTATCAGCATTTGCATTTCACATTTTAAAAGTTGCATTATAGAAATAGCCAAAAACTCTCTTGATATGTTAATTAATTTTGATTACATTAAGAGTAGCAACAAACCTATTAATAAATGTGAACATGTCAACATGTTGTGATTTTTATGGAAGAGTGTGTTTTTTCTATATTGCTTGATTGCTTATTTCATATCTGTAGAGGATTACACCCAGAAATAGTTTTCCTTTTGTATATGAGAAGGAATTCAAAATTTATTTTAATATATATAAAAATAATAAACTAAAATTAATAATGCTTGCAAAACTGAAAGATATTGGGTTTTCATACAAGTAAATTGGCTGAATGTGTAACCTCAGCAATCTTATTCAGAATGCTGCCACAATGCACATATTATACATTTAATATATGCATTCTGGCAGCATTCTGAATAAGATTGCTATCCATCATCCCCTTGCACAACATCATTTAAAAGAATTGGCTCCTGGCAACCAGTTATATTGTTTTCCATATGATGATATAGACTATGGATGTTGGTCACTGCATTCACAGCTGCAAATGTGAAGAGTTACCTCTTGCAGATATGTAGTAAATTGTATTCTGAGGATAAAATTGAGGGTGAAGAATCCCTCAGTATTTTTTTAAAAGAAATGTTGTAAAATAAATGCAATTAATTATATTAATTAATAGTAGCTAAGATAATCTACATCAGGGGTGTCAAACACAAGTCCCACGGGCCGGAAGTGATCCGCGATGTGGTCGGATCCAGCCTGCAGGGCCATCCTGGAAAATGTAAGCATGGCTTCAGCCCGGTCTACCCAATGCGAAGAGGAAACATCGGGCCAGCGTGGCTCCAGCCCAGTTTATCCAATGTGAAAAGAAACCAGTTTGGGAAGTGGCATCAAGATGCCCATGCCCACTCAGCTGACCACACCCACTCAGGACTCTTGGTGGCGCAGCAGACTAAAGTGCTGTTAAATAGCACCAGCTGCCTGCAATTAGTGGGAGTTCAAATCTCACCAGGCTCAAGGTTGACTCAGCCTTCCATCCTTTCGAGGTAGGTAAAATGAGGACCCGGATTGTGGGGGCAATAAGCTGACTGTATAAAAAAGAACACCGCTTGGGGGGGGGGCGAAAGCCCTACTAAGCAGGTATATACAAAAGTATGAAGGCTATTGCTTAACGCATTGTAAGCCGCCCTGAGTCTCCGGAGAAGGGCAGCATATAAATCGAACCAATCAATCAATCAATCAATCAATCAATCAATCAATCAATCAATAGTTGGAAGGAAATATAAGATAAATTAGAATTTTGATCTAAATTCTGATTAGGCTCTTTTAATGTGATGAAAATTTTAAATTAATTCATCAGTGAGAGGATCCAATGGAACAGAATATTCATAACTTGGGGTTCAATTGTGGAGTTCTTGGTACTCTCTGAACTTGGTTGTTGTTTGCAGATGTTTCATTATCTAACTATGTAGCAGCATCAGTGCTAATGAATGTCGGGTTTGCTCCCTATTTGTATAAGATGCTTGTCCTGCTAGTGTTGAGGAGGTTATGGTTTTCTTCTTGGTTGTTTTTTGATTAGGGTATTATTTTCTGCTTGTTAGCTGGGTAATAAGCAGGATTGATATCCTGTCCAGAGTGGAGGGCATGCCACTATATATAAATGAAAGCAAACCATACATTGACTAGCACTGATTATGTTATCTAATTGGGTAATAAAACACCTGCAAGCAAACAACCAAGCTCAAAGAGTACCAAGGACATCCAGTCAGAGAGATGTCTGAAGTACTCCTTGCTTCCAAAGCCCATAATAAATTAAGTCTCTTAGGGCTAGTAAGACATAATGTGGCTTAATTCTTTTAGATTAAGTGTCTATCTGTTATAAAGTAATATCTGAGAACCTGGATATTATGGCTTGTTCAATAAATAATGATTAAACATCCTGCCTTATTCATAATGAAATTTGTTTAGTTTTCATAGTATTTCTCAGTCCTCTGACATCCTCAAAATTTGATGGATCCTTTGCTCAGGGCTTCTGGACTCTTTGCAATCTAGATTTTAGCCAGAGGTTTGTCTCTTAATCTTTTGCTCCTTTTGCAGAATGCTCCAATGGCACTCAGCCTCTTAGTCTTAGAACATATTCTCCTGCTGGTTTTTTTTAACTGCATCACAAGGTTTAATCAGCAAGTGAGGTTTGAACCAATGCTGTATCTTCTTCTTTAAGCACAAATACATTCTCTGCTTCACTTTTCTGAGACTGCCTTTAACACTTTATTAAATTGACTACCTTTATTAATACCACATTCTGCTGAATACTATCCCTCAACATATCAACTCTACTACAATGGTAACAGACTGCTGTTTCCAACTCCCAACTCCCACATCCCATTTCTTTTCCCTCCTACTTTTATTTTGTGGATATTAGTAGAATTCAATATTTGCAAGAAATGTCGGTTATCAAAATATTTATTGCTATTGTTATTGCTATGCTAATAATTTTATCTATGAAAAAGGACTCATTTCACTCAGGGATGTTGCATTAACCTATAGTTTGCTAGGCACTTCTGAAATAGGCCAAAATGAAGCCCTAGCTCAGGGGTCGGCAACCTTAAATCCTCAAAGAGCAACAAAAGTCCTACCATTCAATTCTGGAGCAGTCCGGAAGTCCGGTTTCCCCATCATAGAGTCTCCTAGTGTGGTGTCCTTTTTCCTGTCCTAACCAGGAAATTCTGGAGCCGACTGGAAAACCTGCCTCTTGCCATAGAATCTCCTCCTGGCACGCCATGCTTCCCACACAAAACCGGAAGCTCCTCTCAAAATTGCGGCACCGACCAGCCACAGAGAGCCACATGTGGCTCTAGAGCTGCGGGTTGCTAATCCCTGTCCTAGTTGAATCTGAAAACTTAAGAGGCAATCTTCAGAAGATGTAGGAGAGGAATTTGCCATTCCAAAAGTCTTGTTTCAGTTTCCCCTCAAATATTATATGTTCATATGAATTGTCCAACAACTAAATGTACTGCAATAAAACATACTTTATATCAGGGGTGAAATCCATCAGGTTCTGACAGGTTCTGGAGAACCGGTAGTGGAAATTTTGAGTAGTTCCGAGAACCGGCAAATATCACTGCTGGCTGACCCCAGAGTGGGGTGGGAATGGAGTTTTTGCAACATCCTTCCCCCAGGAGTGGGGAGGGAATGGGGATTTTGCAGTATCCTTCTCCTGCAGTGGGGTGGGAATGGCAATTTTGCAGTATCCTTCCCCTGGATTGAGGTGGGAATGGAGATTTTGCAGTATCCTTCCCCTGCCACGCCCACCAAGCCACACCATCCCCACAGAACTGGTAGTAAAAAATTTGAATTTCACCACTGCTTTATATGTTTCAAAGTATGACGTGCTATATTGAAATTTCCTTGGCTGTAAAAGTTTAGACGGATTCTCTTTAAAGTTTTCATTTTATCTCTCATAGGAATGAAGCAACTATTATCTCAGGGAGGAGGCTGGCTGCACAAGTCTGTGAGGAAATACAAAGAGATATTGAATCATGGCTTACCCTTGGCCACAAGAGACCTCATCTCACTGTTGTTTTAGTAGGCGAAAACCCAGCTAGTCATACTTACGTAAGAAATAAAGTAAAAGCAGCAGCAGCCGTAGGTATGACTTTTTTTATATAAAAAAAAGAGTTTGTACATTGCCAACCCAGGTTGTTTATAATATATACAATATTTTACTTGCGTACAGTTTTTTTTTTTTTTTTTGGAATAATGAGGCTTCAGTGGATGTGGCAGTGATGCAAACCAGGAGAGCCAACACACCTATTCAGGGACAATATTTTCATAAGGTTTGAGTGAGGTAGGACAAGATTAATATCAGCCTTACCAAGAACAACAGACAGGAACCCAGTGGAGCTTATTCTATTTTATTGTAAGGTTACATTAATAGAATCTTGCAAGTCTAAAACTTGTGCCATCTCCTTTGCCACCTGAGAATTGGGAGTGGGGGGGAGGTTTCCTTTCTAAGCCTCTTTTTCTGTCTGTTATCTGTGTCCTAGACAACATTTCTCTGCAGGTCTCCCAAAGTCATTCCTGTGTACCATTACAGTATGGCCTATTTTATTATTTATTAATTTATTAATAAAATTTATAGCCTGCCCATCTTATCTCAAGGTAACTCTGGACTGTTTACAGTAATAAAAAATAAGAACTGTATAAACTAAAATCATAAGTAAGTTAATACAAAAGCCAAGCACTATGGCCCAATTAAAAATGGGGAAGGGAGGAGCAGGAGGTGGATCTGTTGTTAATTGATCAACCACATTAACTTTGATGCTCCCCCATTGAAGCCCCAAGCTAACAAACAGAGACAGGTCTTTAGGCTCTTCTGGAAGGTCACACCGGGGGGAAGATGTTTTACAGGTCAGGTGCAATGGCAGAGAAGCCCCTTCTCCTGGACCCAGCCAGAATAATCAGGCTGACAGGACCTGCAGCATGCTTCCTCTGCCAGCATGGGTGGGACCGGCCAATCCCAGTGGAATTAGATGGTCTCTCAAGTAGCCTGACCCATTTACTGATGTCTAAATTCATGTATTTCTCAAAAGCAGCCAATCAGGATCGCAATGATGTCAACATTTTAAACATGTCATGACATCACAATTCAAGCTGATTCAATTTCACAGGCAGTTTGCAAGGTGTCCTAGGAAAACCATTTCTTTAATTTTCAGTAAATTGGGTTTCACAAAAAAGATTCAACAGTTCCAATTTGCCTACATGTGTCCTAGATAGTTAAGCAGTGTATGCATTTGTTTTACCTGTTTTAGAAGCTTGAGCAAAGATAAATAATAGTGCCATTAAATGTGAAAGTACATAATTTGATTTGTGTAGCAAATTTTGCAAAAGACAAAACGCAAACCATTGTTGCTAAGGATATTTCTTTTGTGGATTGTTTTAGGCATTTGTAGTGAAATAATACTGAGGCCCAAGGAAATTTCTCAAGAAGAACTTTTAGATCTCACTGGCAAATTAAACAAGAATTCAAGAGTCAGTGGCATATTAGTCCAGTTACCTTTGCCAGGTAATGAATTCTGTTTCATATGGAGTCAGAAAATAAAATGACTGAGAATATATGAGAAAAATGCAGTTAAACTAGTACCTCTGTTCTGGTACAAGGGATTTATGAATAATCAATTTCCTTAGGTCATTGTTGTCTTTACTAATATTTATTTTTCTAATGATTTTTTTCTAAATATTTGTTATTTCTATTACAATCCTTAGTCCTTTACAAGCGTAGCTGAAATCTGATTGCCAAATCGCCATATATTTTACCAGTAGGACATCACTGCAGGTGGCAAGAGATCAGTTCTGTGTTTTCCAAAAATGTTCCCAAAATTAGCAGTAGCTCTGGAGAAAGTTCAGCTTTAAATTGCCATGAATGAAGCTGAGAGAATCATAAAGAAGAAAGTCTTCCCAAATAATTTTTATTTAAGGCCATATAGGGCTTTCCTGGCAATAACCAGCACTTTTGGAAAGAAACTGGCAGCCAATGTAAGGTAGTACTCGTAATACAGAAATATTCTGAACTCTTCTCAAGTCCCGGCTTTCGGGATAGATCAAAAAATTGTACCACACAGAGTATATACCAGAGCCTAGAGGTTATCAGTGCTGGTAGCTCTGTTCTAAGATCATCTTCCAGGAAAGGATGCTATTGAAACATTCACTGAACCATTCACTAAATGGCTGTCCTGGCTGTTGCTGCAGCGTGAAAAAAGAATGTATCTCTACTTTCTGCCTTGGGTTTGTACAACCGCATTCGCAATGGGTAGATCTACTATCTCCTGAAATTATGAAATCTCACAAAAAGCACTTTCAGTTTGCCTTGATTCTGTTTCAGCATATTGAATCCTTTATTTCTTTTCTTAAAATATGATTTTATTAAATTTCAGAAGCATGAATAAAAACTAAACAAGCAAGAAAAATAGAAAAGAAAGAACCAGACAAAAATCAAGAAAAAAGTGGGAAGAGAAGAAGAAAGGAAAAAGTAAAGACAAAAAGAATGGCTTCCAACTTTCTTTGGTACAAATGTACATAAAAATCCAACACCTAGTCTAAAATTAACAATTGTCTATATTACTTCTGTAATTCCATATAATTCTAATCATCAAATCCCAAAATCAGATTTTTATTTCTCTCATTTTTTTCGCAAAAAGTCCAAAATTGGCTTCTAAGTACGGTAGAAATAAAACTGCTTTTCTTTTCTTTAATCAAAGCTGTCAATTTTGCCATTCTGCCAGTTTTGCCATCGGTCTAACCATTCATTCTAGATACTGCAAGTACTTCCACCTTCTTGCATATAGTCTTGCTGTGGTTATTGTACATAAAATATTTTTTCATTCCCAATTGCACATAGGTATTTGGAGAGCAACTTCATTATCAGTCATTATCTGGTAGCGGTATAGAAAAATAATTTGAGTGTCATCAGTATATTGGTAACACTCAGCTTAAAATTCCTAATATTTAGCAGTATCATGTAGATATTGAAATGCATAGAATTGGAGGACTGATTTATGTCATGCAATTGTCCATTTCATAGAATCAGGGCTGGAAGGAGACTATTCCATCCTGGACCAATGGCTGGCCAATCTTTTCTTGAGGACCTCCAGTGATGGAGCACTCAAATTGTAAAAGGCAAGCTGCACCATTGATTAATTGTTCTTCGTGTCAGGAAATTTCTTTTTACTTCCGGGTTGGAGGTCTCTTTAACAAGCTTACACCATTTACTTCTTGTCCTGCCTTCAGGTGCTTTGGAGAATAAATTGACCTTCTCTTCTCTGTGATAGTCTCTCAAATACTGGTAAATAGCTTCTATCATTTCACCTCTAATCCTTCTTTTTGTTATTCTAGACCAGGGTTCTGCAACCTTAAACACTCAAAGAGTCATTTGGACACTTTCCCACAGAAAAGAAAACACCAGGAGCCACAAAACCTGGGTGGGCGTGGCCAACTCTACATCACTCACTTCCACCAGTCACATGACTCCTCTGTGTCTCTCTATGTCTCTCTCTCTCCCACTCTCTCTTTATCTCTCTGTCTCTTTTCAGGCTAGGCGAGGAGTGACTGGAAGGGGAGGGCGAGGGACGGGCCCAGCCAGTAGTGATACCACCTAACAGGAAGCCACAGCAGATGGCCCAAAGAGCTGCATGCGGCTCCGGTTGCTGACACCTGGACTAGACATACTAAGTTCCCATAACTGTTCATCATATGGTTTAGTTTCTAGACTCCTGATCATCTTTATTGCTCTTCTTTGCAGTCTTTCTAGGACTCAGCATCTTTTTTGTATCATAGTGATCAGAACTGGATACAGTGTTCCAAGTGTGATCTCACCAGTGCAATATAAACTCATACTATAATTTCATGTGATTTTGATACTATCCCTCTGTTGATGCAGCCAAGGACTGCATTAGCTTTTTTGGCTGCTGTAGCACACTGCTGGCTCATACTTAAGTAAATAGTCCACTAGGATATTAAATCCCTCTCACAATTAGAATTGTTGATCCAGGTACTGCCTGTTCTGTACCTGTGTGTTTGCCTAAGGACAGGACCTTGAGAAACTAATCAAATTTGCAGCCAATACCAAGCTTGAGGGGTTGGGGTGGAGGGGAATTGCCAATGTTTTAGAAGATAAAGATTCAGAAGGATCATGACAGACTTGAGCATTGATACAAATCAAGATGCTTCTGAATCTTTATTTTCCAAAGCATTGGCAATCCCCCTCCCCACTCAGCTTGACTGCAAATTTGATGAGATCCCCTTCTATCTTCTCTTCTAGATCATTTATGAAGATGTTGAAGGTCACTGGGCCCAAGAGAGAACTTTGAAGTGCTCCACTGCATGCTTCCCACCATGTAGATGTAATTTCATTGAGGACTAGGTGCTGGGTGCAGTTGTTCAGCCAACTGCAAATCCATCTGGTGGTGGTACTGTCTATCCCATGTTGTTCTATCCCTCTAAGAAGTAGGATAGAGGTCTTTTTTCATCAAATGTCTCACTGAAATCCAAATAAGCTATATCTGCAGCATTTCCCTGATTCACTAATTTAATCACTTTATCAAAGGAAGCAATGTGGTTTGTCTGGTACAATCTGTTTTTAACAAACATATGTTGGTTTCTAGTGGTCACTTGGTTCATTTTTAGATGCTCACAAATCTGCTGCTTGATTATCTTTTCCACAATTTTCACAGGTATTGATATCAAACTGTACGTCTGTAGTTTCCTGGATCCATTTTTTTTCCATCTTGAAGACTGAAACCATATCAGCTCTTTTCCAATCCTCTGGTAGTTTCCTTGCATGCCAGAGTTCTGAAAGATTCTGTTCAGTGGTTCCATCTGCCAGCTCTTTCAGTACCCTGGGATGTAAATCATCTGGGCCTGGTTATTTAAACTCTTCTAAAGTGAATAGGTTTCTTATCCATTTTCACCAACATTCCTGTTCTGTTTTCTCTCTATGCTGTTTTTGATAGGTTGGGCTATTTTTTTTCTTTTGCATAAAGACAGGTGCAAACAAGGAGTTAAGCAGTTGTACTTTCTCTATGCTCCCTATTACCTTCTTGCAATTTTCTCCCACTAGTGGACCTATCATTTCCTTGACTTTTTTTTTTGTTCCTTTCCCATTGAAAGAATTTTTTTTTCTTATTTTTGACATTTGTTGCAAATCTTCATTCTGAACTTTAACCTTTATGACTCCATTCCTGTAGATTCAGGCTATTTGCTGGTATTCTGTTCTAGTTACCGTACATGTCCCTGTTTCCATTTTTTATACTTTTTTGTCCCTCAGCTTGTGAGAGACCTCTTGTGCGACCATGTTGATCTCATCTGAGTTTTTTTGTTTTTCTTCCTCTGATATTGTTTTTGTTTGGGCCTTTAATATTTCAATTTTTAGAGTTTCTCATGCATCCTGAACTGTTTTTCCTTCTAGGATTGCCATTCATGGATTCCTTCTTAATTTCTCTCTTATTTTATTAAAATCAGACCTCTTAGCATCTAAAACACTGGTCTGACTCTGCCCTTATTATGGTGAATTCTAGTATGAACTCCCTGCCCTAACATCCCTCAAATTTCTACTCCTGTGATCATTTCATCACAATTAGTTAGGATTAAGTCCAGAGAAGCTGATTTTTTGGTCTCCCCTTTGTGGGTGACAAAGTTGTCAGCTAGGCACATCAGGAACCAATTCGATCTCTCATTACTTGCAGAGTTTGTTTCCCAATTGATGTCAGGTAGTTAAAGTCCCCCATTGCTACAATGGACTATTTCCTGCACACGTCAACTAACTGATTAGCAAAGGATTGTTCTATTTTCTCAACCATGTCTGTAGTACATGCCTATGGCAACGTCATTTCTTTTTCCTCTAATATTTACCCAAATACTTTTAAGGTTTTCATCTCTGGTATTCTGTATTTCTGTAGAGGTCTAGTAATTGTTTTCCCCATATGCTGAGTTGGTTCTGCTTCTTTTGAACAATTTATATCCTTCTAGCAATATGTTCCAATCATGGATTCCCTCCCATTAAGTTTCAGTAATAACAATAATATCATACCTACCCTCATATACTCAAACTTCAAGTTCTCCCTATTTGTTACCCAAACTCTGAGCATTAGTATATAGGCACCTGAGCCTTTTATGGCTGACCTTCCATTTGTTTTCTACGTCTCCTATTTTATACCTAAGTTCCCAGTCCTTTTCACCACTCCCTTTCTCATTGTCTGATTGGTTGTCTTGGGGATTATTATTTTTTTTTTTAATTTGATTTATATGCCGCCCTTCTCCAAAGCCTCAGGGCAGCTTACAATGTGCTCAGCAATAGCCTTCATCCTTTTGTATATTTATACAAAGTCAGCTTATTGCCCCCACAAACTGAGTCCTCATTTCACCTACCTTAGAAAGGATGGAAGGCTGAGTCAACCTTGAGCCTTGGCGAGATTCGAACCCTGCAGTAATTGCAGGCAGCTGGTCTTAATAACCAGCTTAATAACAGGGTGCCTTAAACCCCTGTACTACCAAGGCTCTTTTATGCTTAAA